GCTGCAACGACGTGCTGATGAGCGTTATATTGGAAGCAACAGTGGCAGATTGTGAAATTATGCGATCCGTAAGCAGTGATGGAAGGAGAGCGTTTAAGGAATAGTTGCAAATCATTTTCCAAACAAGCGACATCACGCTAGAATTTAAAAGTAAGTGATTGTTAGTGTTACGGTAAATTCCCCCATAATTGGTTGGGTATGTGGAGTACAAGTTTCGAAAAAGAAAACATCGAAACAATCACCCAAAACGTATATGGAAGCGTGTACTCAAAACAAACCACTCAATAAATACACGGTTGAGTGAACCGAGGCAGAAACAAAAGGCTAGGAAAAACGTTCAACTGGCCATCTTGCTAAAAGATGTTATTATAAAATTACAAATTTTAAATTGCTTAAAATCAATTCCATGTTATGAAGGGTATCTGATGATTATCTAGAGCTAGAATCATTTTTAAGCATTTCGTCTATCGAGCCATGTCTCGTCTCCGCTGGTGTGGAAATGAGAGAAGCTTTTTTCTGTTTTGTGCTACTTCAAATTACATGATTATCTGGAAACAGCTCATTTTCTAAAGCAAACAATGCTAAGTAGTGGTAGTCTTTCGGTTCGGTTTTCTGGGATGCGTCGAGTGACGATGAGCACTTCAGCTGGCTTTCAGAGAAAACGACCCATGATGGCAGTGCGCGGGAATGACTTGCTTCAACAGTGTTTGGTTTGGGTTTGGTGTCTGATGGTACCCTACCTACATATCTATTCTATAGCAAGGGTTGATATCATGTGCTTTCGATTTTCAACGAAAGGAAGACGAATTAAGCTTAAACATTTGTTTCGTGCCTGAGGTAAGAATAACAAGCGTGTAACCTCACTGTAGTTATCTAAATTGAGCAGAGCAATTATGCTTTTCTCCATGTTCCTTTCGGGAAAGTCCAGTGTACGGAGAGAAGATAACCGTCGATTAAAAAAAAAAAATAAAAGTGCATAATTGCACAGATTGGCGCCATTGGGAATTGTTTTCTATCCATATTGCCATTATAACTGTGTCTCGTGTTCTTTCGTGCCCGGTTGCAGCAGTTGACGGCAGTGAGTCGACATTTTTTTGGGTGTAGGTATGCTTGTTCGTTGGAAAATTAGTTCGTTATCCGTTGGATGTTTTTCTCCGTTTAGAACCTACCTGCCATATGGCAACTCAGTCAATGGATCTCTTGGTGGATGAATATTGATTTTTGCTTTATTTTGGATATTAACTTGAGTGAATAACGGCAACATGATCCAAGATAGTATAAAATACTTTGATCGGATTTGGGAATTATAATCATTGCAGCCTTTATAACTCAGGGGGCCACTTCGTAGTGAAGGTTTTCTACGCCCTTGGCAAACCATGAAAATAACGCCCATTTCTCAATTGACTGAATCAATTGGAAGGTTTATAAATAGAGGAGGGGAGCTAATTAGTTTTAGATTCTCAATATTTCTTCACATGTGGGATTCTAAATTTTTGCTCAGCTTTGGAATTCATTATAATTTTTATATTTCGACAATTTCTCAATGACCCAGAGTGCGAATTGCCGAAGATCTTACGGATTCCGACATTTTTAAGTATCAAAATTCCTAACATTTCAACGCCTTCAAAGTATTTTTTTTCAGAAATCTCAACAGTTGAACGTTTGGTAAACAGTTCGATGATTTATCACAGGTTTCCTGTAATTTTCACATTTATCTCATTGCTACTTATTGAAAAAAAGTTTATGTTCATGACATCGGTTTTTTTTCTCTATGTTGGAGATCTTGTAAGCCTCAGTCCCAATGTCAGAAAAGAATTATAAATTACAATTGTAAAAAAATGGTCCGCAATTTTGAAATTTTTCCTATGTTTGAGCCTTAATACATTTGCTGGCATTCTTTATATATCTTCTCGGAGTTTTTTTTTCATGAATTCTCTTTGAATCATTTCACAGTTTTCGTAGTTTTTTTTTTAATTTTCTTAACCCTCTACTGACCAACCCAAGTAACCAACAAGCCCACGAATTCGCCTTTTTGCAATATATGGCTAATATGTGGCTAATATAATGCTTAGCATGCTCTATGTTAGCCGTGTATCAGCCTTATATTGCAAAAAAGGTGAATTAGCGGGCTTGTTGGTTACTTGGGAAGTCCGCCTTTTGGTGAGATAAAATAATAGAGTTGCGAAAAAATAATTGAACTTTTCAACAAATGCTGTTTGACAAATGATGTTGACCCAGAAATTGAAAATTTACAAGCATAGTGCCTTCTGTTTAGTTTTTGCTTAAGGGCCACCCACATTAGATCCGGATCTGACGCGTTGCAGCAAAGTTACAGCTAAATCTATTGCCTAACTGACAAATTTTCGTGTACGCAACGCAAGCAGACTTAATGTTGGTGGCCTTTTATAATTAGGCCTATATTTGGATGAAAATTACAAATAGGGTGGTCCTAAAAACAAGGCTTAAACTTTTATTTCATATTTTTTAATTATAGCGGTAGGGTTCACTAAATTAGAATGCATTAGATGTATTTTTCAGTAACGGCTATGAAAATTGGACTTTTTTTTCTCAAATATCAGCGGTGCTACCATTAAATAAGGTTTTTTTTTACGTGGGAGATGACTCTATTGAAAATGCAGGGACGATTTTGTTTTGTTGTCGATATATGCCCTCGCGATTAGCGGCGCCGGTGGTGTAGTGGTAGGCGTGATTGCCTCTGATTGGCGCCACCGGGATTTTCTTAGGCATAAAATCTCTGATCAAGGGAAGTAAAGCCGTTTGTCCCTGATCCATGAGTTGATGGGTCGTTAGGTGGGGTCCAGGTGTGGGTAGCATTGGTACTCAGTACGGAAAATAAGATCGACGGAAAACAAATCCGGAAAAAAAGATGTCCTCTCTGATGCCCTGAATAGAAGAAAAGATTGATGAAGATTCTGTAAATTTCCTACAAAAGGTGAGCCTCCAGTTTTCAAGGAAAAGTGTTGTTTTGGACCATCTTAACCAGGCATCCGTTTGAAAGAATAACACGGATATTTAAAACCACACAACTTATGAAACTAGCAGACCCAAATTATGATCTTACGGATAAAATGTAGGTACCGTAATCCGGGGGCAAATTGATCACCGGGGTGAAATTGATCATTATGGGTTGCGTTTTTAGTTGTCAGTTAGTAAATTTTCGGTGAGAAATCTTGAAACATAGCATTTCATCATGAGACTCCAATGATTACATTGACGAATTTATCATATCAAAAGTAGATCTTACTGCATAAATTTCAATGTTATTTAAGTGACGTTCAATAGCATTCAATATCAGCATTAAAAAACGGTCAAAGGGTTTTAACGATTGTTGGCATTCACTTAAAAGTGGTATTTTTCATTCAACTAAGTGTCAATGAAGCTGAATCATTGAAAACATTACGTTAATAAGTTATATAGAGAAATCAATGATTTTCTGTGATATTTACAATGATGTTTAAATAAATTGCCTACATTTAGTCGCAACTATGTATTTTAATAAATCTGTTTTGTAATTTTTGCTGAAAATACACTTCGCATAAGGATTTTAGCATCTGATTCGGATTAAGGGATCCAAAATTTGACAAGAGTAGTTATAGAAATGTATTCAAAAGTCATTTCTTCCACAGCTGGCTTTGCAGAAAATCATCTATTGGTAATCCCCGAGATACCAAATCAGCAGGATTCTCCTTTCCAGCAACATGTCGCCATGGATGATTGTATGTAAGCGTCTGAATAGTCGAAACCCTGTTTGCGACGAACGTTTGCCATGAGTTGGGAGGCGCACGTAACCAGTGCAAGACAATGGTACTGTCTGACCAGAATATAGAGCGTACATTATCCAATGAGAGAGCCTTTGTCACCTTGGAGTGAAGACGAGCAGCTTCTCTAGCCGCGGAGTTCCAGCCTTGGCAACGTTAATCTCTTAAGTGGCGCAATGCGTGACTTCGACGAGAGTAGCTCAATCTGCACGTTTCCTGCTTGATCCGTCGCCCGCACGTACAAGCAAGCACCGTATGCCAACGTAGAAGCATCAGCAAAACAGTGAAATTGTATATTGATCCAGTTAGAAACAAAGGCAAATCGACTGATTCGTACTTCCGAGATTTTTCCCAAATGGGAATGGAAAGCCTTCCATTTCTTCTCGATATCAGAAGGAACAGGCTTCAGCAAAGCTAGCTCCTGCATGATAACTTTCGCCGTAACGATTAGTGGAGAAATCAATCCCAATGGATCGAAGAGTTTGGCAATAGCAGACAAGATGCTCCTTCTAGTCCAGATTTGCTCATTTGCCGCTACGTCGTAGTTGAAGCGTAATTGATCAGTCCCAGATTCCCAAAGTTTTCACCTTTTCTTCCGGACTGATTTCGAATGAAATCGATAGATTTGTTCCTAGTTGATCGGCAGGGATACCAGTTAAAACCTCTGCCGATTTGAACACCATTTTCGCAAAGCAAATCCTCCTTTCCTTAGCAGAGTGCCTAGATTCTTCTGTAGTTGGATGGCTCCTTCTACACTGGGTGCTCCACCAATATAGTCATCCACGTAGAAATCTTTTACTAGCGCATTGCTAGCTTCGGAGTATTCAGCTCCTTCGTCCGCCGCCAACTGATGCAATGCTCGAATTGCTAAAAACGACGAAGGCTTCAACCCGTAAGTTACTGTAAGTAACTCGAAGACCTTTATTGGTTCATCAGCAGAGAACCTAAAGAAGATGCGCATCAGTCCAGTATCATCCTCGTGTACCAATGCCTGTCGGTACATTTTCTCTACATCTCCGACCAGCGCCACTTCATGCTTCCGGAATCGTAGCAGCAGACATAGCAATTCATCCTGAATCGTAGGACCTTTTAGAAGAACGTCATTCAACGAATATCCGCTATCCGTACAAGAAGATCCGTCAAATACAACGCGTATTTTGGTTGTAGTGCTGGATTCCTTCAGTACAGCGTGATGGGGTAAATAGAGGAATTTTCGGACATTCATCGCATTATCCTCCCCCGAAGTTCGTCCTCACGAACTTCCCTCATATGCCCTAGATCGAGATACTCTTGCATGAAAGTATTGTACTGCTTACGCATCTCTAAAGTCCGTTCTAACTGCTTCTCCAGCCTTAAAAACCTTGTAAGCGCCATTGCTCTGGAGTCGCCCAACATCTGTGCGAAGTTAACATGCTTTGGCAAGTGAACAACGTAACGTCCCTCTTCCGTTCTGCTAACTGTTTTCACGAAATGCTCTTCGCAGTCCCGTTCCTCCTTGGACCATGCCGGTTGATCCTCGTTGCTCTCTATCTCCCAAAACTTCTGTAGTAGAATCTCCAAATTGTCTGGCGCTGCCGAAATTAAACAGCTTACTGGATTGTTGTACGTATCTGACACTTTGCCGGTCACGATCCACCTGAATACCGTATCGATCAACACTGGAAGTCCAGTCCCCAGGGAAATCCGCTTGACTTCTCGCTCAGACAGGAACCGATAGAAATGTTCAGCTCCGATTAGAAGATCGATCCGACTGCTGGTGTTGAATTCCGGATCCGCCAACTGAGTATCGCCTGGAATGTTCCAGTGGGCCGTCGACACGTGAACTGAAGGCAATTCTGACGTCACCTTCTGAAGAATTAGGAATTCGACTCCAATTGAGAAGTCTTTGATCCTAGAACTGATTGCAGTTTTTACAAGAAATCTCGCCCGTGTTTCCGCTTGCTCAATGCCGCAAATAGGAACGTTGACTGCCCGTCGCTTTAAGCTGAGTATTTGGCATAAGCGCTCACTCATGATGCTTACCTGCGACCCATTGTCGAGCAAGGCTCGAGCTAGATGTTTCCCTCCGTTTTGGTCTCGCACAACCAGTACAACAGTAGACAAGAAAACGCTTGATGTTGTTCCTCTTTTAGTCCCTACGTTGTATGTTCCTACCGCTTCCCGCTGTTCCGCGTCCTCTTGTTCTGATTCTTCGTCGTTTGTAACCAAATTTGACGATAACACCTTTCCATCGGCCTTCTTCATTGATTTTCCAGAGGATTGAGAACTGCTTCCACCACCATTGCTCAGAGGGAATCCAGGATGAATCAACGAATTGTGTTTCTTTCCGCAGTCTCGGCAGCTGAACTTTGAACTGCATTCTCGAACCCAATGCCCGGATTTTAAACAGTTGCTGCACAATCGCTTGCTGTTCACGAACTGCAGCTTCTCCTTCAAAGTCATAGCAGCAAACTTTCCACATCGACCCAAGTAATGTTTATCTCCACAACAGCAGCAGCTTGGTACACTTCTATCGTTCTCCGTAGCAGCATGAACGATCACTTTCTGGCGTCTGACCTCAGTCTTCTGCAAACCGCTCCTTGATTCGACAGCATTCGATGAAACCGCGTCTAATACCCTTGTCCTCTTCTCCAAAAACTCCACCAAGAATGCGAAAGTTGGATCCTTAGTTGAAGTAGCGTGGGCTTCCCAAGGTTGCAACGTTTTGAGATCTAATTTGGAGCACATCCAATGTACGATCATTGCGCCCCAGTGATCTGTCTTCTCTCCCAACTGCTTCAGGATTTTCAACCTTTGCTCAAATTCATCGACCAATGCATGTATGGCCGATGCTGACTCCTTCTCCACCTTTGGGTACTCCATTAATGCTTGCAAATGCCTCTTCTTAAGGAGATACTCATTGAATACCGCTTCGAAATCGTCTCCCAAGCGATAATATAGTTCTCGCTGGTGAGCGTCAACGATTCGATGAGTTTGGCTGCTTTACCTTTGAGCGCCGACTTGAGGTAATGAAACTTTTGGACTTCACTCAGCTCCCCGGACTCATGAATCAATGAAATGTAGGTTGACTTGAATGACAACCAGCTCTTGTAGTAACCATCGAATTCCGGAAGCGATATCTGCGGCAGTCGAACTCCGGTATGAGCACCCAAAGCACTGGCATTTCGTGCCATTGTGTTGTCCAACTCATGTCCTGAATCCCGTGTTGGCAGTTTCGCTAGCAAAGCTGCACGAAGCGCATAGTAGATTTTCTCGAACTCCACGTAAGCCTTGCCGCAATCCTCATCGTACTTTCCTTTAGCATCCACCGCAGCAATCTCATCCTGCACTTCCTCGAACTCATCGTACTTCGCATCGATTTTATCCAACCGCGATTGCACTTGACCCGCATGGACATCTGGATTGAACTCATCCAGGAATTGCACATGTCTGATTACTGAAGCGACAATGCGAACCCGCTTTTTGATTTTTTCTTTAATTTGATGCTCAGACATACCCACAACCACTACCAACTCAACAAGAAGAAATGCAAGTCCAGACGACCGAGAAAAGAATCAAAAACAACACACTTAGAAAAATTCATGTAAATTTAGGTGCTCTGAGACTGACATATACGAGCGTCAATTATGACACAAAATTGAGTCATAATAGACGCGAAATTCAGCTCAATCAAACGTACTTTTCGTCGAGTAACGAACTTTTCAGTCTCGGAGCACCTAATTTTACATGACATGTTTGTTTACGTCTCATCCTTTATGTCAAAGATGGATTCCGTCACGTGTAAAATTAGGTATTTCTAAGTGTGAACCATAACGGCGCCGGTGGTGTAGTGGTAAGCGTGATTACCTCTCACCCCAGCAGGCCTGGGTTCAATCCCAGTCGGCGCCGCCGGGATGTTCTGAGGCATAACATCTCTGATCACGCCTTCCTTCGGATGGGAAGTAAAGCCGTTGGTCCCCGGTTCATGAGTTGATGGGTCGATAGGTAGAATCCAGGTGTGGGAGCTGCCTTCCTGGCACGTCGGTAGCATTGGTGCTCAGCACGGAAAACAAGATCGACGGAAAAAACAAACCAAAGAAAAAAAAAAAAAAAAAGTGTGAACCAGGGAGTACCGCCAATAACAATGTGAGGATGTTGGACAGGAACTCACCTGAGGCCTGTCAAATCTAGGCCTTGATTTTAAAATGTATCCGCTATCTCCGTTACCGTGCTTAATCTAGCCTTGAATGTGTCGTCTTCGTAATTAGAATTATGGCTGTTGCAATTTCCCACTAGTGCAGTACAGACTATGCGCAGTGTCTCCAAACGACCCAGCAAATCCAAAAAAGGGACGAAAAATCCAAAATAGCACTGGTTTTACAATTATAAATGGTTGGACAGGTACTAACCTTGCACCTGTCAACAACAGGCCTTTGTTTATGTTTATAAGACGCCTCCAACTCCAACCAGCTTCCAAATCAATGGTCCAATACCACTAACCTTCCGTGTATACGTTATTGAATACCTTCCGTTGATCGCCACTTCACGTTGTAGCAGCACTGCACGCAACGTACGACGTCACGCCTTCCAGCAGTGATTGCTCTACCTCCAACCCGTAATCCGTTGTGTCCGAGATAGTCCGATTGTTCACGTGGACCCGTTTGAAATTTTCCTCCAACGATGTATCGATATCCTTGAGCCGCAACAATGTGTACAATGTGCAGTGTTGAAACTCTCCGATCGTAGCCAACGATCAACCGTACCGAAAAGGATCAAAAGGGTACCCTATAGCACCATACGTAATTTTATTGAACAGGCACTCACCTGAGGCCTGTCAACAATAGGCCTTGTATTAAAAATCAAATCGCCAACCACTGTAGAACCTCCTCTGGTGCTATCAATCCTTATCGACCTTCAATCGTATGAAGCAATCCAAAAAAAAAAAAAATGTGGTATGCTATCGGTGGTGCTTTCGTTGTGCATAATATGCTCGCCGTCCAAGGATCAGATGAAAACGATGATCAAATACTCGAGAACATGGAACCAAAAAACGATCTCAGTAGCACCGATAGGTGGGTAAATGTAAGTTGGAAAGCCACTCACCTGTGGCCTATTTGAGATAGGCCTTGTATTTTTGGTTAATTTTATTGCTGCAACTGCTACAAGCTTCCGATGTCGCACGACAATGCCTCGATGTACTCAAATGTTTTGGGAACAGGTGCTGCAACAACTGATGTAACGAATGAAGTATGTCGAGTAGATGGGTGGGTACCCGTCGAGAGAGAGCAATATCCGATGAACACTCTACCGTCGAAAAATGTCCTCCAGGGCCATTTTGCCACAAGAACAATTACACTGGGTGCGAGAATGGCCGTATTGTTTCCAACCGAGTATCCTGGTCACGGCACCAAAATGTTGACCACTCCGTGGTTCGTGGGTCGGAAACCACCTTAGAAAATACAACGCAAGGGTGCGCCAGAATGAAGTTGCTTCTCACCGTTCTTTCTACTCCCGTTTCAGTCCATGCCAGAAATATCCTTTCCTCAATATCCTTGACACACGTATCCTTCCTTAATACTGGGTGTCCTTTTTCCTCGTCCTATTATTCTTCCATGTAGGCCAGAAAACACTAGACATATTGTCGTAAAACTACCACACTTTATTAAGTAACAAAACTGGCTTTAATGTGCACGCTAGACTGATGCAAATTTTGACATTTTCGCTCCACAGTGCTCAAACGGTTTCAAATCGGGTCCTGATTAGTCTCCCAAAATTTGAACTCATTTGAAAAGAAACTGACTTGGCACAAACCATTTGAAGTTTATATGGAAATTACTATGGGAATTCCAAACTTTTTGTTCATTGTCTTGTTACCTTTTTCCATATGACACTGTTCAAAAATTCAATAGCTATACTTATGGAAAATTTTCTCAGCTTCAACTTAGCAGAAGATAGTTGTTGAGCCAAACGTCAAATAAAATAGTTATTAATTGTTTAAGATATTGATAATCTTATGGCATGATCAAGCAGCTGTTTTGTGAGCAACACTGTATCTTGCAGTGTGACATAGTAGCCATGATTTTTGTGCTCTATTCCAAGCGCCAGAAACACCAATGTTGCCTGCTGAACAGTTGATTGAGCATAATCGTAAGACATTAGTGGCTTGAATTATTGATAACTTTTGATGCTTACATTACATTGAAAAGTGGTTCAGGACAATGATGTAGCTGAGAAAATTTTCTACGAGCTCAGTTATCATTTTTGAAAGCAGAGCGATATGGTAAATTGTTAGATGGATATGAACAAAATATTTGGTTTTCCTATAGTAATTTCCATATAAACTTCAAATGGTTTGTGCGAAGTCAGTTTTTTATCAAATGAGTTCAAATTTTGGGAGACTAATCAGGACCCGATTTGGAACCGTTTGAACACTGTGGAGCGAAAATGTCAAAATTTGCATCAGTCTAGTGCACGCGCGACGATTCGGTTTATAAAGTATTTATTGCCTCGAGATCAGTTGGCTACTAACTGGGGATTCTGTTATCCACATCTATCTATATAAACCTAACTTCGTGTTGTATTTTTGTATGCGTGTTATCAATTTTATCAGTGTCTATTAGTGTTAGCGTATCTAGTCTAGTCTAGTCTAGTCTACACATACACAGCCAGTACTTGAAAGAATCCTGGAAAATGATACATCTATCATTTTTCTTGTCATTATTAATGCCTGCTGCACATCAAGGATGTGAAACAAGCAATAAAGCGGCCAGGCCTACTGTGTAGCGTTTAGTTAATTTTTGTGGAAGTGAATGTTTACCATGTCTACTTAATAAGTATAGACAGTGGTTAACATTTAATCCACAGGTAATCAAAGAGCGGGGACATACCGTACCAACCGCTCCGTATGCAGGATTTGAAAATAGGCTATATAAATCGTTGGGAGTGACAGAGCTAAGAAACTTAATGTACACTCCTTGGTTGTCCGATCTCCTGGGATGGAACACAGGTATTTACCCCTTGTGTTCGAGCGTACAGTCCTCCCTCCGTACAAGCGTGGACGGCACCGCCAACCCACTGCCATCCCTCAATCAATCCAGCCGACCTCAGTCGAAGGACAACAGAGAGCGGTGTGTGGACGTAACCTATACGGAGGGAAAGCTGTATTTGCCTAGGTTATAGCGCCCTTGCTCGCTACCATTTTCTTCTAGCGGTTGGGACCTGAGCACTAACTCTTGTCCTAGCCCTATATGGCATATGGTTATAGCGCCATTACTCGCTTTCTGAAAAGAGAAGAAGGGAAAGGAGAGGAAAAGGACTTGGGAAAAGGAAATGCGGAATTCCTTTCCTCATTAGTATTTGTATCGTCAACTTTTATGAAAACTATATAAATCATTTTTCCTTGGTCAGAGGTATTATTACGACATTTGAATAAGATTGTCTTATCATTTGTTATTCAAAATTTA